CAGTGCATGTGCATGTTGGCAAGGCCCCTTGAGGGCTCAATCCTCACACCCTTATGCAAAGAACATGAATGTGAGCCAAGTACAGAAATCCAAATCGCAAATCACGCTGGAGTCCAAGTAGTCAAGCAAAGTGCAGATACCACATTGGAACCGAGAGCAGATGGCACACCGACTTGACAGACTTGCACAGAGACTGACGTGACACACAGTGACAGACATACAGAAAGACTTAACGGACTTGACGTGACACACAGTGACAGACAGACAAACAGACTTGACTGACGTGGCACACAATGACTGACGTGACACAGTGACAGACAGGCTGCACAGAGACTGACGTGGCACACAGTGACTGACGTGACACACAGTGACAGACTGACAGACTGACTTGACAGACTTGCACAGAGACTGACGTGGCACACAGTGACAGACAGACAGACAAGCAAACAAGCACATAGACACGGTGACAAGTCACACAGACAGGTTCGCGTCCGTGGAAGACAGACAGACGTTGAACTATCTATGTGACTTGTGACCGTGTTTGTGTGTCTGTTTACCTGTCTGTCTGTCTTTCACTCAACAACCTTGTTTGGCATACAGACTGACGAACAAACGGACAGATAGGCAGACAGATAGACTGACCAACAGGCAGACATGACAGACATACTGACGTGACTGGGTGACTGAGTGACAAACAGACGGACTGACTAACAAACATGCAGACAGGGTGTACAACAGCCATGACAAGTCACACACACATGTACAAAACTCAGATTCGCAAACACGTCTTCTCTTCTAAACCTGAGTCCGACAACAACATCTGACAAGGTTATTTGCAAAACTCTCTCTCTCTCTCTCTCTCTCTCTCTCTCTGTGCTTGTCCCTCCCCATCAGTCGGTCCCATCCCCCGTTTTTTTTATCTGCGAAGCGGCTGCTCCTCATCTGATTCCTCCTCCTCCTCCTCCTCCTCCTCCTCTGCCTGCCCCTCCTCAGCCCTTTCGTCTGCCTGTGTGGGGGCAGAGTGCGGTCGGCCCTTGCCTCTCGCGGATCCCGAAGCAGGAGGCCCTTCGCGACGTTTGGAAGGTGCCTCCTCCCCTGCCTGGTCCTTTGCCTGTGCAGTTGGGCATCCTTTGCCTTTCGAGGATCCTAAACGAGGACGCCCTCTGCCTCTTTTAGGAGCCACGTCTCCTCTCCCTCTCGCAGTCGATGCACCTCCTCGTCCACCTCTCCCGCCCCGTGGAGGTCGATAACTGAGAGGATCCCAGGTGGAACCAGAGGTGG